CCACTAAAAAAATCCTCAAAATCCCCCAAAACCCTCTCCAAAAATATCCCTCCTTTTTCTCTCTCGTCTCTCTCAAACCCTCCTCCTCCCCCTCCTCTGCTTCTCATCCCCCTCACGCGACCTAGCAGTTCGAGCTAACGGGCCGGATCCCGTCGTCGGATGCGATAACTGGGCGATTGAGGAATCCGAGGAGAAGTACGATTGTGATCTGTCCACGGTTGGGGCGGGGAGCGGCGGGGTGAGGGCGTCGAGGTTCGCGGCGAATTATCCAATTCGAATTTGTTAGCAGTAAGCTTCAGTCATTGGTTCATTCTTTAGACACCAATTGATTCTTTAGGAAATAATTTTGTCCATAATTCAATGTAATTGACAGTTTTGCGCCCATTATGTCATACAGTTGAAAGAAGAGGAGCATTTTGTCGAAGTTGTAGATATTGTGTGTGTGTGTTCCCGTTATGCTTTTTCTCTTGTGATAATTTGGTGGCGGTAGAAATTGAGCATGTGCCATTGCGAACCAATTGAGCGCTTTGAGGTTTGCTGCTAATTGTGTCATGAAAATTGCGGTCTTTGAGCTGCCCTTTGCTACAATTTCTTCGAATGATAATGGTGGTGTTGAAGGAATATAAGTTGATTTTTGCCCGCTTGTAACATGTTAAATGCTGGTTATAGCATCGTTGAAGGAGTACTTTGTTCCATATTTTTTTGAAATGAAACAAACATGAGTTTTGGATATGCTTTATTATTCTTCACTTTATCATTCCATACCAAATACAAGTTATGGATTCCTTTGAAATCCAAAAAATTTAATGGAAATGGTTATTTGCATTGGAATCCATGTCCATTATTTTATGGAAACGAACCAAACAGCCCCTAAGCGATGTTAGGGTGTGCTTGGAACATGGATTTGGGCCCTCGATTTGAAATCGGGTTGACCAAATTCAATTCTCTTCTTGGGCCTTTGTTTTGAACTCGAAGTTTTTTGAATAAGGGTTTTTTTTTTGTTGATAAAATGGGTTTTAAAGCCAAAATCAGGGATTTGAAATTTTCACCCATCACCTGATATTTGGGAAATCGCCGACTCATCTCTTCTCCTGTCGCTAGGTCTGTCTCCTCTCAAAACAGAACGCAGGCTCAGCCGGTGCTTTGAACGGATTGCTTTGATTTCTAATTTGGTTTACGTTATGTTGGTTTATATGCCCTTTGAATGCGTTTTGCTACCCTAGTGTAGTAAGAAAAATAATTAATAATATTTCTTTGTAGACTATAACTTATATATTATCTGTTAGCTAATACATTAAATATTTATGGAGGAAGAGGTAATGAACAACTTTTTTTTTTTTTTGCTATGTTATGAGAACAAGAGGATAGAATTTTGTTTATCAGTAGCTAAATTGCACTTAAATGCCTTATAGTTTCACCACATTGCACTTAAATGACCTTTATTTTAAAACTGAGCAAATAAATGCCCCCAAAGTTTCAAAATGTTGCACTTTAGTGCCCTCTTTTTTATCCATTGTTTCATATAAATACCTCTTGTTTGTAAATTGCCTCACTTAAATACCCTAAAGTTTCTAAAAGTTACACTTTAGTACCCTCTATTATGTAGTGTTCTTGGATATGTAGAGAAATTGGGTTCTCCCCTTCTTTTTAACTTTGGGGAATTTATTTATAATATTTAAACATTGGGAAAATTATTTGCACAATTTTAAGATAGAGGATACTTAAGTGCAAGGTTAGTGAAACTATAAGGCATTTAGTGCAATTTAGCATTTATCATTTAAAGTAGATAGTTTGAGTGATAAGATTTTTCTTAGATAAATTATAGTTTTAAGCTTGAAATTCAAAATTAGATAGTTTAAACATCAATCTCCTTAACAAATCTAAGAAAAAATTATGATTTTAAAAATAAAAAAATCGAGTGGGATTTCAATGTCGTGAGATTTCAATCAATGCTCATGTTTAATTCACCCAAGATTAGGACATGAATGAGATTAGGACTTTCCATCATTCCCTAGTATGAAGGACGTAGGACTTCCCATGACCATTGTACCTCCCACTTCATCCATTCCTCGCACCAATGATATATTATAATATAATATGTTAAACTAGGGGTTTATTTATAATTTTAGAATTTTAGGGTGCTTTTTGTGAAGTTTTGAAACGGAGTGTTAGTGGTTTGTATTTCAAAACCTTCAACGGGTGGGTTGCAAAGTTTTGAACAGAATGTTTTGTAAAATTTTTCTAGGGTTATTTATAATTTATAAAACTTTCAGGGGGCTTTTTATAAATTCTTTGGGATGTTCATAATTTTTGAAACTTTCAAGGGGTTATTTGTATAAGTTTTAAGGAGTTCTTTGTAATGTTTTGAAATTTTTAGCTATCATTTTAACAACATTTTTGGGGCTAGTTGTAAAATTTTAAAATAACTATTTGCAAAATTTTCAAGGGGAATTTATAATTTTCAAAGCTTTCAAGAAATTGGTTATAAAACTTTACAGTGTTTGTTTGTAAAACTTAAGGGGAATATTTATAATCTTTGAACTTTTGAAAGGAATGCTCGTAATTTTCATATTTTCTAGGGATTGTGTTCTAGGGACGGTTTGTAATTTATGAAATTTAAAGGCTAGTTTATAATTTTTTTTTAAATTTTATGTGCTATGTGTAATAGAGTTTATTTGTATCTTTTGAATCTTGCTGCAATTTTCATGTGATTATTCATAATTTTTATATTTTCATGGACTATTCGTAATTTTTGAAACTTTCAAGGGGTCATCTATAAAATATTTAAAGAGTTATTTATAATATTTTAGAATTTTCAGCC